AGTAGTTCGGTTATATGAAACCTTTTAATATTTGGGAAGTTCTTCACGCTCGCCGGAACTTTTCAAACGGAGCCGAACAGATATCGCGATTAAAATCCGTTTCAAATATCGCGAAATTGATTCGTGCGTCCAATTATCGAATCGTTTCTTGCTCCACATTAACCGGATTCATTAAATTCCCTCCGCTAGTTAACAACTTGCCGTTTCGTGTCAGCTCGTGCTCCCGTCGAACATTTCGAAGCATAATACACCGCGCGTCTTGTTTTTTTTACTATCCGTTTACTCGCTTTCTTTGAATCGAGATATTTCTCTTTCTTGAAAAGAAAAAGTAAAAAAAACGAACGGTCGGTCGACGGTAAACGATCGAAATAAAAACAAGGATAAATTTTATTTCTTTGTCACATGTGTTCGGTCGATGAAATATATGTTTTACGAGTTAAATAGAAAATTAACTTCGCCTTTTAAAAAATAATTAACCGGAAAGAAATTATAAATAATGTACGCTCGAGGTATCCCTTGAAGTTTTTCTATTGTTTCCTTGGCCTACAATAATTTCCTTCGAGAAAGAGAACATCGATAAAACGAAGTCGCCGCTCGCAAAACGCCGTCGCACGGTTCAAAAGTGTGTCCGCTCGAATTAGGCCTCGATAAAGATGTTAATATCATACTAATAATGATCGTAACGACAATCGTAATAATCATATTATATATTTCGCGCCAAGTAGACACGCTTCTGTTTAAATACTGTGTACATTTTTTCCACTTAGGTTCTTGAAGAACCGAAATGTTTTCGTAACTGTTACGAAGTACAGTAATGTCTCTCTAATTGACGCTCAGCTTGCGGCTCGTTTTTACGGTTCATTTTTATAGTTATCAACAACTATCGTATCCCCTCTTCCCAAATCGTCCATTTTTGTGCACAATCTGAGCGTCAATTGATAATTGAGCGCTCAGATTGACAATTCGTGACTATACAAATAAATCGCAAGGATTGAATAATCGTATCTCCTCTTCCAAAATTGTCCACTTTTGTGGACAATCTGAGCGTCAATTAGAGAGACATTACTGTATACCAAGTTCCGATAAACGGAGCTCGCGCGAACGGATTTCGTTCCTTCGGATCTGAAAGCAAGTACGCCCGACCCTTATGTTTATAAAAATATAAAAATGCTAGAAATTCGTGTGTCAGGTGGACAGCCGTCGATTTGAGGCGCCCTGTACTTCCGGATACGTGCGCGCCTGTTCCAGGCGCTCGCCGAGTCTCGGATGAGAGGATTTTACGGTGGTTGACACAGAACCGCGGGCGGCCCTTCCAGTTTAAACGAACCGAACTGGGTTAGGGTTCGTGGGGATTTTGCGGGGCTGTCGTAGACACCGAATGGCTGGATGGATGGATGGATGGTCGGACGGATGGACGGATGGATGGCTGGCTGGACGCGTATCTCCTCGCCGGTTCTACAAGAGCTGAGCACCTCGTGAATCTTCAAAGATGAAGCAAATTATTAACCTATTTATGCCCGCGAATAACTCCGCCGGCGAGCCCGACGGGATTTATGTTCGCGCGGCCTGCGGAGGCGCGCGATTATGAACCGTAAAAGTCCGTATCGAAACCGGCGAAATATATCGCATCCGCGATAACGCAGAATGTATTGGTTGGCAACTAAGTAATTGCCGATTTGTTCAATGAAATAAAAAATTTTGTTTTACTTGGAACGAAGTTTAATCTGTAATGTATTTTCCATTTTGTTCGATGACCTTTCGCCGTCTCTCTGACAACTTGAAAATTCCACGCTCGTAGAAAGTCTGATCATTTTCGGCCAAAAACTGAGTTAAGTGAGATTTTACAGCGTCATCGTCGTTAAAAGTTTTACCACGAAGGGAGTTGTCCAGGGATCGAAATAAGTGGTAATCCGATGGCGCGAGATCAGGGCTATGTGGCGGGTGTAACATCAATTCCCAACCAATATCCATCAATTTTTGCCGAGTGGACAAAGACGTGTGCGGCCTAGCATTGTCCTGCTGGAAAATGACACCTTTAGGATTGACCAATTCTGGTCGCTTTTCCTTGACCGCTGCATTCAATTTGTCCAGTTGCTAACATTCGCGGATAATAAAAAATAACATAATAATAATAATAATAATA